TGTTTTCATATCTGTGTTAAACAGGAGTGTTGATAGTGGTTTTCCTTATTTTACTCCTGATTTGAAAATCAAAGCTGTCAGGTTTTGACCATTTAGTATAATGTGGGTGTTGGTTTGTCATACATGACCTTTATGTATTTGGGATAAAGACCTTCCATTCCTATTCCATGTTTTCATCATGAATGTGTATTGGACCTTGTCAGGTACTTTTTCCTTATATTTTGAGATGTTCATATGGATTTTAGTCCTTGCTTCCGTTAAAATATCACATTATGTTGATTTGCATATGATGGCGCATCCCTGCTTCAGTAGGACGAATCCCACTTAGTCATGATTTATAATCTTTTGGGTGATTTCTTGCATTTTGTATACTATTATCTTATTAGGAATTTTTGAGCCTATTTTTATTAAGGAGATTGTCCTCTATTTTCTTTTGTTGGTTGAATCTTTCTCTGATTTTAGTGTCAGTACAATGCTTGCTTCCAGGAATGAGTTTGAGAATATTTTTTCCCTTTCTATTTCACTGAATGGTTTAAGGAGTAGTGATGTTATATTCTTGCAGAAGTTCTTTATTTTAAATTTTATTGATAAACAGCAATGAGACAGTTTCAAATCAAATTGGAAGTACAGTTTCAACAAATAACACACCGCATATATTCTTCTTAGTGGTTCATTGCTGTACAAGATGCGGACTTGAGATCCTATTTACAAAAACCATTAGAACAAATCATTCTATTCATTAAGAGAATGCAACTATATATCTATCCTAACCACTTTGAATACACAGATACAAAATGGACATTCATCGGTATACCTCATTTTTCTAAGTTCCGTTATTGAATATTATAGGTGTGTAAACTCAGCAAAATATTCTAAAAGAGTCCAGTAGACCATAATACCCTTGGGTCTTCTGTTTAACTGGAAATGTCAGAAATTATTGACCTGAGTCCCCCACAGCTCAACATAACAACATGGCTTTACTTCCTATATTTTGTCTTCATACTTTTCTACTGGATGGTTAAGACCAAGGTAAAGCAGGACCTGTGCAACAAGAGTTGTAGTGTTTTGGTCTGATAAGGTCAGTGAAATGCCCTCAGGATTTATCCTGAGATCCTGTACCTCAGATTGTAGATCCTTTGTCAGTGTCAGCCATGTGGATGAGTCACGGCCATTGCTTGGCCAATGTGCTCTCTGTGAAAGCCTGAGAGAGTGTTTTCTCCCCATATGACTCTCCTTAGGCACACTCTACGTCATCGATCACTTTCCTCTTTGGCCCCATAATCTTCTTGATCAGAAAATTTGGGACAGTACCAAGGTAAATGACGTTACATTACAAGTTCTCATATGTCCTGAGTCTTAATTGACCTTAGAAGGTTAGGGCCAAAATGTTGGCTTTCCTTGTAGCCCTCCTTTTTCTCAATTTTGGTCTGCAAACTTAGGTTGTTAACCATCCAGAAGACAAGCTTATTGTTATTATCAAACGATTTAGGCTATCAAGCTTAACCTCACTATCTCACTGCATTTCAAACATCTTAGGCATAATAAGGAACAGGTGTTTTTCATCAAGTATTGATATGTTGAACTTTTAAGTTCCTACAGAATATGATAAAAAAACATTTAAAAATTAGATTATATTTTAAAAATAGGATAAAGAATTCTATACTTCTCATGTTTGCACATAAGTCCAAAAATCTCACCATATACAACCTTGAAGCAGGACATTCCCACAATACTCCTCTTCCTGTCTCTTGCTTTCCTTCACCACCCCCTTCTTCTTAAACATCCACCTACCCGAGAGACATGTTAGCAGTAACTGCCATGTCATGACAAGCCTCCCATATTCAGAATACCAGAATGATAGGCACTCCAAACATGAAACTACTATTACAAATTACCATCTGCAGTGCAGTAGCTTAGTTCACAGGTATCAGTATATATAGTTAGTCAGGGTGAGAATCTTTGCAGTTAACTGCTAGCTTAAAGAATCTTCTGAATATTCTCAGGATCATTGCCTTGCTCATCTTTACATATAATTGTATGGCTTGACATTGTCATGTTTCCTAGCTCATCTCCTTTCCCTCTCTTGATTAGTTAGTCCTTGAGATCCTGCTTTCCTTTTACTTGTATTATATCTTTCTATTTGTATTTCTTCTTTGGAGTTCTTATACTAGGGAGACTATACGATATTTACACATGTGTGTCTGGTTTATTTCACTTATGAGCAGAAGTTCTTAAAGCATTCATCAGTGACTCCATCAGGACCCAGAATTTTCTTGTTGGTAGTTTTGTTATTACTTCTTCAATGTCGTTGACTAATACTGAGTTATTTAGAATTTTTATATATTCTTTCATTCAGCTTTGGCAATTCAAATGTATTTAGAAATCACTCCATTTCTTCTGAATTTTTTTATCTTATTAGAGTACAAGTTCTCAAAGTAGATGCTGATGATCTGGATTTCTATAAGATCCATTGTGATTTCACTTTTCATTCCTAAATGTGTAGATTTCAGTTTTTTCTTTGTTTTCATAAGTTTGGCTGTTTGTTTTATTTAAACTTTCAAAGAACTAATTCTTTAATTGATTCTTTTTATTTTCTTATTTTCAATTGTAGTATTAAATTTTGTCCTGGGTGCTGTGTCGTTGGCTCAGTGGTGGAACACTTTGCCTAGTAAGCTGGAAGCCCTAGGTTTGGTCGTTGGCACAAAAAACAAAAAATAAACTTCTCCTAATTTTTTTCCCTGATCTTTATAACTTCCTTTATGATATCATTTTTACTTTTAACTTTCTCTTTTTCTAGAATCTTGAAAATCAATGTTACGTTATTTATGTGAGCTTGCTCTGTTTTTCACTTTATTTGATCATATTTTTATTTTTAAAGAATAAAAAATAGTTAAAAATCATAAGTGTTACAGAATTTTACTAAACAATATAATAGTAATTCAATGATCATTATACTGCATTTTGTGGTCTTCAAATTAGTTGCTCAGATTACCAGATATAAGAATGAAAAATTGGTCAAAAATTATAGAAATGTCAACAGGGAGAGAGATATAAATTTAGGCAGTGACTGCTCTCTCAATAGACTAGAAGAAATCAGCAGTACCATTTTCCAAGCTATCCTGTACATATACATATATATTTCATTTTCCCTTTTTTCTTTCTTTTCTCCTTTCTCTCATCTCAGTTGTTCCTTTACTTTGAATGGTTTCTTTATTGCCTTTTTTCTGGTGTGGGAATTCATAGCCATCAATTTTACTTTTAGGACTGTTTTCATTGCATCTAGTAAGTTCCCGTGTGTCATATTGGTTATAGAAACTGTCTCATTTCTGCTTAATTTTATTTGTGACTCATTGTTTGTTCATTAGGGCATTATTTACTTTCCATATGCTTATGTAGTGTTTGTGATTTCTTTTGCCATTGATTTCCAATTTCATTGTACTATGATCTGATACTATTCATAGAATAATTTCAATACTTTTGCATTTATATAAGCATGTTCTACAAGATATTATTTGGTCTATTTTGCAGAAAGTCCTATGTGCTGCTGAAAATACATGTGTATTCTGTGTTTGGTGGGTGTAACACTATAGATATCTACTAAGTCCATTTGTTCAAAAGTGTAATTCAGCCCTGATATTTCTTTATTTTCTTTTTGTCTAATCTGTTTGTGACACTGGGGTATTGTGGTCCCCCATTAAAATTTTCTTAGTGCTTAACTGATTTTTCCTGTGCATAAATCTCTTATTGGGTTGGGTATGCCATAATTTGATGTGTACATATTTATGATTGTTGTCTCTTATTCTGAAATTGTTCCCATAACAAATATATAGAGACCCTGTGTCTTCCGATATGTCCTGGCTTGAAATCCACTTTGTCTGCAAATAGAATCGCTACTCTCCATTTTTTTTTATGTATTTAGTATAGCGTCTACAGGGTCTCACTATGCAGATCAGATTCATAGTTATCCTCCTGTTTTGAGCCTCCCAAGAACTGGGATTGCACATGCACCACCACACCCAGTCTCATTCAGCATCTCAGCTGGCCCCTGGGGTCTGCATGGCATGGGGATCAAACCTGGTTCCCTAGCGCTTGCCTAAGCAGGCACTTTAGTCCACTGAACTCTCTGGCTGGCCCTTGGGAAAAATTTCTTAATACTTTTTCTCCAATATTTCCTTTCTGCCATATCTTTATTCCACTCTAAGCAAGCTCTTTCTAGGGCCAAAAGAATTTCTCCTACTTAAGGTTTTCCTTAGCCCTTCCTTTCAGTGCTTAGGACTTCTGCTCAACTTTTGTTTCAGCGTAGGCCTTTCAGAGTTCTAACAGAGGTAGGCTATAACAGTGATAGCAAACCTAGGGAATGCATGCTACACTGAACTGTATCATTGAAAATGCTAAAAGATTCAACATCCCTGGTCTGTACTATTTGTAGCAAGGGCCATTTTTGATTGTTTAACAACATATATTGTAACCCTAAATATTATCTAAGGTTAATGCCCTGTGAATTTGTGAATACAAAAGAAAAGTACTTTCAAGTTCCTCAAGATATTATAGGCTATTTTGATCTGCGTCTCCTTATGGTCTTTCAAGTATATGTATGGTTCAACCTAAGTCATCAGTGTTCTCCTAAAAGACTTTTAAAGAACTTTATAATGTCTTTCTTATCAACCTATCAGCAAAGTATATTTGTATAGATTCTTCTGTCTTAAAGATAAGTTTGTTATCTTGGTAAATAAATATTCCATTTTGAGTCTTTTTTGCATTTGTATTTTATCTATCTTTAGAAATTTCTTAGGGCTAATATAAACTCTTCTGTGAATACACCACTTCCTAAGGTTTTCTATTCTTAGCTTTGTGAAATCAACGTCAACTAGTTCTTAGTATGAGTTCATTCAACATGTACTATTATTTAGTACACGTTTTAGCTAAATATGTATCTTCATTATGAATGAAAGACGAGATAAGGAGAATGTCAAACATTTTGATTTGTTTTGTTTTTGCAGATTTAGTTCATTTGACTTGTACGTCTTGCCAAACAGCAAGAGAAGATTTAGAACCAGTTGTGCAGAAATTGTTTATTCCATATACAGAAATGGAGATAGGTAAGAAAAATGGTGATTCATGATGAAAAGGTAATGTAACTGTTACACTCTTTCTATACGTCCCATGAAGGCTTCTGCATTCTAAACTGAAATACAGTGTATTCAACAACTCTCCTATGTAAGATGGTGAACACAGTGTCTACCTAACCATGAGGAAAATCTTAAGTGTCTCTGATAAAGGAAAAATACACATCACACATATACACAAAAATGTATAAAATGAAATGCCAAATATCTGTATGCATAAATATTTATGTGAATAAAAAAGATAGTCAAAATATTTCTCTTCATTTTAGGAAGATTATGAGCACTTTTCCTTATAATTTTCTTTATTTTACATATTTTTGACAAAGGAACATGTATTCCTTTGACAGAAAAGTTACTTTAAGAAACAAGTTCATTGAACTGATAGAATATTAAAACATTAATTTCCAATGTAGGAACCCTTCATATGTTTAACCCATAGAATGCCAGTGAGGTAACTACTTAGCTTTCAAAACTATACATCTTATTTATGGTGGAAAAATACTTTTCTACCATGAATTTCTAAACTTTTCTCCATATAATATGGCAGCTCTTATAGCCATGAATGGAGCAAATGTGGCATATTTTGTGTGTAAGTGATCAGAGAATAGCCTCATGAATTTTCGTTTATTTGAACTGAAGATGATTTGGTATGAGTTGCATGTTTACTATAATCTTGCTCTACTTTCTTCCATTAATTCATATATCTACTTTTTTTAATGTTACATTTCTTTGGACAACTATGTTAACTCCCACATGTTGCATTTCCTTTTGCCTTAACTTGTGTGTTTCTTTTCCTAATCTAGAGATTGAGCAGAAAGGTACATCTATATTTACATGAAAAGATAAATTTTACACTTATGTGAAATATTAATAGAATTAATTTCTTTATGTAATCCCAAATAAAGTCTTTAAAGCTAAAAACTTGCTCCACTTTAGAATTTAATTTGTTTATGATTTATATTTTCTTCATTTGAAAATATCATATATTTATTTTTAAAATTTTGATGAAAATGTAGTTCATGATAATGTTCCCAACACTTATATGTACTAATAATTTTATCTTTTGACTTTAGTTACCTTGTTTATAAAAATTTTAAATTTCTTATTATTTCTGAAGACTTTATATTGTTCCTTTTGTAATTTTATTGTGTAATTGTCAAATAATACCCTAAATTTAGACCTCGTATCATTTCTATTCACTTCTTAAATGCATTTGATTGTCTGTTTCATAAAATCAATCTAGGGCCTTGTCTTAGTTACTCATCTCTCTTTGCTGGGACAAATACCAGACATCCGAAATGAAGGAAGGAAAGGTTTATTTAGCTCACGTTTCAGTCCATATTCAGTTGGCTCCAAGACAGAACGGCACAAGGCAGAGAGCAACTTTTCATGGCAGTGGCAAAGAAGGACAGGGAGCTCAAGTAGAGTAGCAACAGCTCAAGCAGCTAGCCTCTCCTCTCACCTTACATTGTAATGTAAATTACCTGCCCCAGGGCCAATGCAGCTTCCACTCCCACAGTAATCAATCATAAACTCCAGAAGCCACCCCAAGACTGCATGAGGCTTTGGGGAGACAACTATACACAAACCATAACAGAGCCATTATATGTTTATTACTTAGCATTCTCCAGACACTTTAAATTTTTAAATGTTAATATTAATGGTTAATGTGATCCCATTTTGAAATGTAGTTTTACAACTTAAGCAAAATTCATTAGTAAGAACTGTGTTCTCAGAGGGGGCCCTTTGGTGCACTGAGGCACTGAAAAGCTAGTGTTCACTGACACATAGGCATTTTTATCATCAGGATGAGGTAGTGATCATATTTTAATTAAAATGTCAGAACAAATACTGTTGGAGTTATTGAAAATGAATCACCAGATAAAGTGAGCACTGGGCCATAACAGGTCAAAGAGGCAAAGTCACCTGCAAGAAAAAACTCAATTCATTTTCCTGCCTAAGTGAGGATGAAGAAACTCTATGAACATTATGAACTTTTAATATATTAAAGCACATTCTTCTCTGTGACAAAAAATGATCTTTCTTATAGACTGATGACCTTTAATTTGTTTTTATTGTTTGCCAATAAAGAAACACTTAAACTTCAGAGCATTATGAATAGTTTAGGTTAAAATATGTACCAAAGAATTTCCCTTATGTTCTTTTTGAGTTCTGCATTCTCTATGATCTGTGCATCATAAACCTTTGTAAAAGCTTGGTAACCTTGCAACAGGGGGCCTTAACTCAGTTGTGTAAGCACCTGCACATGCAAAGGCAGTCAGGAACAGTACCGTGGTTCAATCCCCAGCTCTGCCTGCCTTACCAGACCTGCCCGTAAGGCAGCCTGAGCCACCAAAAAAAAAAAAATCTTGCAGCAAAGCTCATTATTTTGAAAAGGTGATATTTTGTTTTCAATTATAGTACTTTTAGGCAATATATATGAGAAATTCCAGTGGAGTCCTGAATGTATTCCTCTTATTCTTATATTTTTACTTACATCCAGAAAGCTCTTAAGGTAACTCTTTGGTTCAAGAAAACTCACACTAATATCTGCCAAGAATCCTACCTGCCAGTCTCCTTTAACAACTTCAGAAATCTCTAAGCTCTTCTTCCTTCTTACTCCAGGGAAATACCAGATGTTTTATGTTTAATGAATGTGATTCTATAGGTGAGAAATTGAAGCAATTACTCACTTTGCTTATCCTTAGTAATTCTTCCAGACTGCAGAGTATCTTCCAAAGCCTCAGAGAGATTTATAAAGTACTGAGTGTGTGTCAGCTTCACTGGAACAAATGTCCTAAGTAATTTCTTATTTTAACCATAAAATTTTCAATACAAATTGAAGCAAAGATTTTAATAGTAGTGTATCTTAAAATATCTAAAATACTGCGTCATCACTGCATCGTCTTTCACTTTTTCTCACCATTGTGCATGGCTTGTGAAGTTATCTCATTGCATCTCAAACATTTCTATCTCAAAGAGAAGAATTTCCTAAAGAAGAAATGCCTTTTATATGTAGCTTAAAGTTGATGTCCAGTAAGAGCCATCAAATTCTTTTTGGGCTATGAAAATAATTCTTTTATAGCAGTTGTGACTGGTTAACTATAATTTAAGAAAATAATGTGCTATAGTTTGCATATCAGTAATGCAGTGTTGATGTTGACTGTCAAAATCATCATCATCACCATCATCATCACCATTATCATCATCCTCTGCTTACATAGAAACCTTCATTTCGTAGCACAGAAATGGATACACAGTAAAAAGCAAATGCAGGCCAACTGTAGAACCCTAGAGCGCAACACGAACCTTAACTAAAAGAATTTATGAGGAAGAGCTGGGGAGATACCTCAGCTGTCTAAGTGCCTGCCTGGCAAGCACAAGGACCCGGGTTCAATCCCTTGTACTGCACACCGTGCCTGCCCTAGAAGCCCACTGCCTAGTGACACCCTGTACCAAATGAATAAATAAATAAATAAATAAATAAATAAATAAATAAATAACAGTTTACATGGAATGCAGCTATAGACTTTTAAAATTTGCTTTGCCATGGTTGCTTGCTTTCTGCTTGCTTAACTTAGTACTTAATTAAATTTAATTTATCAAAGATGTTACTCTAAATAGCTTTTTTACTTCCTTATTTTTTTCACACTGTGTAAATGAAAGAAATGAGCTAATGCAGGAAACTATTTGTACTCCTGGCAAATTGTGGTGCACTCCTAGCCAAAGCTCAGTATCTCTAGTATTTTTTTGACAATTGTGTTGCTCGTAACTGCTTGGCATTTTCCACTTGTCTCTATGCCTTCCACTTCACCTCAAATAAAAGTGAAGCAATTATATAGCTCTTGGAGGCTTTCCTCTTTTTTCTAATGTTTTAAATTTTTTTTTATTTTTAAAGAGGTTACAAAAAATAGTAAAAATTAGAAACAATACAAAATTTCACTAAATAAAAGTATAGGAATTCAATAATGGTTGTTATATTGCATACTGTTTTCTTCTAATTAGTTGTTCAGATTACCACGTATAAGCATGCACAATTGGTCAAAAAATTATAAAAAAAGGACAAAAAAATTAAGCATTAACTGCTCCTTTCAATAGTCCAACAGAAATCAGCAGTAGAGTTATACAAGCTATCCTGTGTGTGTGTGTGTGTGTGTGTGTGTGTGTGTGTGTGTATATATATATATATATATATATATATATTTCCTTTTTCCCTTTCTTTTCTCCTTTACCTCGTCTCAATTAACTGTTTATTCTATTTGAACAGATTCTTTCCCTTTCACAGTACCTATTATAACTTTTGGATCTATTTACTCTTTCAGGTTCTCACACTAGCGAGACAATACAATGTTTGTACATGCCGGTCTGATTTATTTCTCTTAACAGTACACTCCCTAATTGCATCCATTTACCTGTAAAAGTGTCATTTATCTTTTCTATAGCCAATTGTGTAAAATACCACATCTTTTTTTCCGTAATTTTATTGATAAACAAATAGCAATGAGACAGTTTCAAACCAAATTGGTAGGACAGTTTCAATAATGAACACATTACATACATTCTTCCTGATGGTTAATTGCTATACAAGATGCGGACTTGATATCCTATTTACAAACACCATTAGAGCAAATCCCTCTATTCATTAAGAGAATGTAACTATATATCTATCCTAACCACTTTAAATACACAGATAAAAAATGGACATTCATCTGTATCCCCTTTTTTGAACCACATCCTTTTTCATCCTTTCCTCAGTTGATGTGCGTTTGGGTTTTTTCCAACATTTAGCTATGATATTATGTTGCTATAAGCATGGATAGAGCCTGCTAAATGGATCATCAGACTAAAAAAGCCTGCTTATGCAGGTACAAGGACCAGGGTTTGATCCCCCTGCATGCAGTGCCGGCCCTGCCCCTGGAACTTGCTGAGATAGTGATTGAGACTGGGTATGGTGGCACACACCTGTAATCCCAGTGCTTGAGAGGCTGAAAACAGGAGGGTCACTATGAGTCTGATCTGTGTAGTAAGACCCTGTAGACCCTGTACTAAATGTATGTAAAAAAAATAAAAATAAACATGGGTGCACATATATCTTGTGGCATGACATTTTCAGTTCTTCTGGAAAAATACCCAGAAGGAGAACAGTTGGCTTGAATGCAACCTAACTTTTTGAGGACTCTTCACACTGAATTCCATAGTGGTTGTACCAGTGTGCACTCTCACCAGCAGTGGAGAAGGGTTCCTTTTTCTCCACAGCCTCTCCAGAATTTGTTATTGATTGACTTCTTGAACAAAATTTGATAGTTTGTGTCTAGAACATTTATCTTTAGCCTATGTCAAACTTTTCATTTGGCTTCTTTTCAAAGCCTTTACCTCCATGAAATTTCTTTCCTATAATCTATTAGATTATTTATTTCCCTTAACTTCCATTAAATGAAAACTCTGATCTGAGACTTTGATGAAAATAAACTCTAGCATATTTTTACAAATAGGATGTGCAGTAATTAGGACATTCTATATCTTCTTTGCAAGGTACCTTAAGTCAGGAGTCACAAATTATAGGTGGTATGTTTATGTGCCTTCTCATTTGACTTGTTGGAACTAAGTTTACCAATTTACTGAAACCAACATGTTTTTAGGTGTGCAGTGTCAATTTCTTATATCCTTTAATTTTATCAATAAAGATTTTGACATAAAATGTATGCCTTAGACTCAGATCTGAACATTAGAAAGGAGAACCTTCAGAAATCACTTCTTCGATACAGAATTTTTTCAACCTGTTGTATTAATAATGGATTATTCAGGATGAACCAGAAAAATAACATATTTAGTATTCTTGCAGTAAAGATATTCTAAATTAAATATAATGAAATCTTATTTGCATGTAATTGGGGGATAGTACATGACTTATTAATTGAATATAATTATGTGCAAATTTCTCCACATTCATTACCAAGTTAACAGTAACAGTCATTGACTAGATAATTATCCCTGTAGCACTTTCTTTATGATTCACAAAGTGCCTTAAAATCTTGGGTAATCTTTATAAACATCTATTATTAACATACAGAATTTGTGTTTTTCTGCAAACACAAACTAGAGAAAATTCTACAGTCAATAAACATATAGCAGTAATGTTTTCTGTCTTCAACTAAAGAAAATTTAAAACATTTTAAAAAGAGATGTGGAAAAGTGGTTAGGCATCTGTATAAACACTTACTTGAAAACAAGGCAAAAATCAATTCAGAAATTATTTATTGAGCATCTGTTGTGGGCTAAGCCCTGATTAGTAAATCAAAACAAAAGAGTCTAGATAGACCTAAGTTTCTCCCATTTGTGTACGTATCCCCAGCTTTTGTGTCAGTACCTAATAGGCATATCACACTTACTGTTAAATAAGAGAATGTACTTGCAATGATGTGGACTCTCATATCCTCATTTTTGTTATTTCTTAGCTGTAGCTAATTTTTTGATCCAATATGACAGAATATTAAAATGTGAGTTAGGGCATCAGTCTTTTATCCTACATATGCTATTTTAATAGTATATTTTGACCTATCATTTTTGACCCATCATTTCTATGCCACATATTTTCATTTAAAATGTAAAATTCAACTTTAAAAATACATTGAAAGAATTGTCCAAACATCATCATAGTCAATTGTGGAACCTTTCTATCACTTCCAGAAGAAACCTCATTTCCATCAATAGTCACCCTCCATTTGCCTCCAGCTCCTCCCATCCCTTGATAACTTCTAATTCCTATTTCTTTAAAATTAGTTATTTTGACATCCCATATATACATATTATTAACTTACTATGTAATTTATCAAGCTGGTTTGCCCATTTGAAACACAAAATCAATTTATGTTGTCTCTTCATAGATATAATTTAAGGATGAATGTGATGATTGTAAGCACTCTCATGCTAATGAGATGCAATAGAAATCCAGGGGAGCATAATTGGAGGTAAATCAAATTAACTTATTAATCAGAATAATTTTTAAAATCTAATTTATCTTAGGTTGAAAAGCCATTATTGCTTGAAATATATATAAGTACAGTTTTTGTGTACACATTTAACAATTGTTCATATACATTGTCTACTACATTGGCTGCTCATGTGTTGATTAGTAATTGGCTGCACTGTGTAAGAATTTAAAAGCTTAATGTATATTTCCACATTTAGAAAATGAAGATGTTGAGAAGCCAAGAATTCTATGGGCTCTCTACTTCAACATGAGAGATTCTTCAGGAGTCAGCAGAAACTGTTACATTAATTTACCACCTAATGTTTATGTCTGCTCTGGCCCAGACTGTGGTTTAGGAAATGATAATGCAGTCAAACAGGTAAGGCTGTTGGTATGTCTTGGTTCTGTGTTAAAAAGTTGGTATTAAAAAGCAGGGAAAGTGAGTTGTCTTTTGCTTCTGATAGGAGGGAAATTAAATGAGAAAAACATCTCATTTAATTTAATACCATCTCTACAATTTGACCACAAATGTTTTGTGTATGAACAACAAGGTAACTTTTGTTGTTTGTTGTAAGAGATGATGAGTTCTATTTTGGGAATAAGGATGGAAGATGTTAGAAATACTTTTCATAAAAATGAATTTGTAATGCCAGTATTCTGAAGAAATGTCAATTCCAGTTTAGGCAAGTGGCCTATAAGTGCATTATTTTGAAATGCACAAACTTTTTTTTCCCTTGATAGCCTTAGTCAGTTCTATAAGGGTTTCACTAGTAAACAGCATACAAAATGTGATTTTAAAGTAGTCTTTATACATTTTTTTATATTTTAGGGAAGGGTCTACAGGGTGTTCACTAGATCAAATTCATAGTGATCTGCCTGTTTATAGCCTCACAAGAGCTGGGATTATAGGCGCGCACCACTATGCCCAGTCTCAGTTGCCATCTCACTGTGCCCCAGGGGCAGGGCCAACACGGCAGCCCTGGAGATCAAAACCCCGGCCACTGTGCCTGCTTGCAGGTGCTTTAATCCACTGAGCTATTTGGCTGGTCCTTAATACATTTTTTTTATTGTGGAAAGTATTATACCTTAGTTTTTTTTTTTACAATTAATACAATTTTATTTAAATTTTTGTCAAAAACCCACAGTGTCCCAAGAGCTATTATTATAAGTAGAAGTTTGTTATAGTGTACCTGCTCAGATTTCTGAAAAGATGCAGGCTAATGCAAGCTGTCAAGTGTAAATTACAATTCTATCAAGATGAAGATCTATGTACATATACAAATTAATGTATTTGCTCTTTCAGAAAGTAAAAAACAGAAACTTTTTTGAGACATACATCTAAGCTTTTGTCAGAGTTGTCAGATGTATGTATTAAATCAATAAATGGTAGCATTCTACTGTTATCTGATATAAGAATCAGATTTCGTTCCTATTTGTACAAGGGAACTTTTTGTGGAAAATGGCTTCATTAAGCCTTTAGTCTGTTTTTTTTAGTTATAGAAGTAGGCCTGTACACAGTGATGATGATCCAGATGTCAATGATGTTTGTTTTCCAAAATCCTTTGATTTTCTTATTCAGATTCTAATGGTGATCTTTTAAAAACCATATGTAGCCAGTGCTATCAAAAAATCAAGAAACCATGTCTGTCATTGATCATTGATTAGATTACTAACTCTAGATCTCATTCTATGGCCTAAACTGATCAAGTTGTTTTAATTTTAATGGTCTAATAAGAGAACCTGTACTGTAACATACTGTAACTCAGTGATATCCCAAATTTTCTGATCAAGGAGATTATGGGACCAGAGAGGAAAGTGATGGACGATATATAATGTGCCTAAGGAGAGGCACCTAGAGAGAAAACTTTCTCTCAGGTTTTCACAGAGAGAAAATTGGTCAAGCAATGGCCATGACTCATCCACATGACTGACACTGACAAAGGATCTACAATCTGAGGTATAGGATCTCCGGTCAAATCCGGGGGGGATTTCACTGACCTTATCAGACCTAAAAGCTACAACTCTTGTTGCATAGGTCTTGCTTTATCTTGGTCTTAACCATCCAGCAGAAAAGTATAAAAACAAAATATAAGAAGTAAAGCCATGATGTTATATTGAGCTGTAGGGGACTCAGGTCAACAATTTCTGACATTGCCAGTCAAGAGGGAGACCCAATACCATTATGGGCTACTGGACTCTTTTAGAATATTTTGCTGAGTTCACACACCTATAATATTCAAATGATGGAACTGAACAAAAAAGGGGATACATATGAATGTCCATTTTGTATCTGTGTATTCAAAATAGGATAGATATATATAGTTACATTCTCTTAATGAATAGATGGATTTGTTGTAATAGTGTTTGTGGATAGTATATCATGTCTGCATCTTGTACAGCAAATAACCACTAGGAAGAGCGTATACAATGTGTTAATTACTGATACTCATACCAATTTGATTTGAAACTGTCTCATTGCTATTTGTCTCTCAATAAAATTATGGGAAAAAAAGTTTGAAAGAGAATTATATAGGCTGATTTTTAGAAAATCAGATATAATGGTCAAAAATCACATGGTTAAATATATTATTTAAGGTGACATTAAAATTTTAGATAGTACCTGAAATGTGCATAAATTTTAGATTGATAGCCACAAATACTCTTCTCCTTCCATCCCCTCTTAGGCTGAAGCACTTTTCCAGCAAATCTTCCCAAATGAAGATTTCTGTCCACCCCCGCCAAATCCTGAAGATGTTGTTATTGATGAAGACAGTTCACATCCAGAAGCTTTGGAATCCAGTGTCCTACCAAAGCCTAACACAGAGACTCTCAAGGAAACTACAAGCCTTACAAAACCAGAGGAATCCTCTGAATAATGAATATGCACCAAACATGACACCCTACTTTTGAAATTCTTACTAGCTTCAGAGTCTTCTTGGTACAGTGAGTGTTTGAAAAATTTCAGATAATATCAGTCAGTTGGTAGGCAGAATTATAAAAAGAAACAGATCACAGAAAGCTAAAAGGTGATTTTCCTTAAAGAGGACATTACAAGCACGTAAAATACTTATAATTGCCTATTTTCAAATATCAAACCTGGGCTGGTGATATAGCTCAGCAGCATAAGTGCCTGCCTGGCAAGCACAAGGTCCCAAATTCAATCTCTGATACAAAAGAAAAAAAAAACTATAAGATTAGGAGATAAAAATTATAAATGACTGATTTCCAAGTATGTAGCTGTAGATGCAAAAGTGATCCATTTTTAATAATTCTGTAAGGATGACTTCGTCTGCAATATGGATTGTTGTAAAAACTGCATCTTTGAATCAATTCACATATTACCTTTGATTATTTGAATTACATTTTTCTTGGATGTGAGTGTCATAATACTAAAGTTAAAATATATATATAAATTCAAAGGAGAAAACTAAAATATCTAGACATGAACTTAGAAATAAATTTATTTTATTTTGTTTTCTATGTTAACAAAATTTCTAATAATGACATTTGTAGACATTTTATAGACAAATCATGATTTCTAAGAAGTGGCTTTATTAGTAGTAGTGATATGTGTGTGTGAATCATGTAAAAACTAGGAAAGCTAAACATTGAAGAAGTGAAACAATAAAAGGAAAGATTTGGATATAATCACTGATATTTGAAGATAATAATAAGTCAAGTAACTAGAACACCAGCCTAATTGTCTATGGACCTAATTTGAGCCCTGGCTCAGCTACCGATACTATCAGGTACACTGTTTTAATTTGTCAACCTCAGTTTCTCCAGTTACAAGTGAAAATAGTAATCTTCAGCCTTTTGTAGGAGAATGAGTGTGAAGATAAGTTCAGTGCCAACCTTAGAACGCTTCTTCTGAAAAAAAGTTGTTTAAGAATTTTCTCGTGGACTTGGGCATCAATATCAAAAAACTTCATGTGAGAAATAATTGCTTATTGCCAATTCCCTGATAAAACAAATCAGTGGGTTTTTTTAAAATTGCATTAAGCTTCTTAAATTAAAACATGTTTACTAAATTAATATTTAATAGTCTTTGTAAGCCATTAGACCCAATGTTGTGGTTTACATCTAATATGTCACAAAAAAATCCTGTATTTGGAGATTGGGCCTTGTTGGAAGAAATAGTTCATTGGAGGTATAACCTAAAAGGGTGTATTCTTGACCCAGCTTCTCCTTTCTCTTTCTGTACCCCGGTTGCCATGGGTTAAGCACCTTTTGTCTACTATGCCCTTCCACCATGGTGCTTCTGCTTCAAAACTAGTCAAACTTGTACTGAATCCCCAAAATCCAAAACCAAATTAAACTTCACCTCCTTTATAGCATGTATGTTAGGTGTTTTTGTCTCAGCAGTTGAAAAGTGAATAGAGATAATTGGTAGCAGAGAACTAAGGTCAGTGCTGTGACTCTGGTTTGAAGCTTTTAGAACTATTTTACAGGAGGCACTTAGAAAGGTTGAGATGTCAGCTAGAAAAGCCTTGAGCTATAATCAGAACTTCTTACACAATTCTAGTAGGAGCTCAGAAGTCAGGAATGTTGATAGGAATGCAGACAGTGAAAGCCAGGCCCACAAGGTTTTAGATGTAAAGAAGCCTATGTTATCTGCAATAGAGACCATGTGTGTTTCATTCTGACAAAGAATTTGTCTACATTTTATCCATGTTTTAGGACTGTTTGTGAAGCTAAATTTAAAAGTAGCAGACTAATTCATATCGTGGAGGAAATTGCAAGGTAGCTGAATATTTCAAGCTGTAGTATGAGTACCTCTGGCAGCTTTTAGTCACATTTTAAAGAGAATTGGGCAAAAATTAGAGCTGCACTATTTTAAAAATTTATAGTTTCACCAGAAAAGAAACCTTGTTGCCAAGGAGAGCATGGTTCATGAAAATGTTAGCATCTAAACAAAGCCATTATTTTGCAGAAGGAAAATAGGAAATATTACTTGAAGTTATCTCAGGAACTGACCAGACTCCTAATCTTTGCAGGCTCAAATGTATAAAAGGGGAAAAACTAATTTGAAAAACTTTGCTTGGGGAAGAGAACGTTAGGTGCCCTGTTCATTCAGGTGTCCCTATGGAAATGTTTCCCTGACTTCAGACAGCCAAGTACTCAGATTTCTTCAGCCAAGATCCGAGAAGTATAACACTAGTGGCAGATCTTGGCACCATCTATGTGGTGCTGGTTGTTTAGACATACAAAATACAAGAGTTGTGAAATTGAGGCTGCCACCAGATTTCAAAAGAAGGCTTGTGAGGCCAGGCAAAATTGTGTGACAGGATCACTCTCTGCCTGGTGCCCTGAGAGGGCAATCCTAAAGTTGGAAAAGTGGAGCCAGGACTCCAGTGACCAACCCCAGGAGTTGTAGATGCCAGAAATACGGAATGTCTGCTGAGGAAAGCTGCAGGCAGCAAACGCCCAGCCTGAGAAAGGTCACATGTGTTGCAATGGGCAATGCAATAGGGGCCAAGCCTTGCTAGCCTTTTGGTGCTTACCTATTGCCACAAACTTCCTTGGGTGCTGGACATGTAGATACAGAATTTAGTAATTTTTCTTGCTAAGTTTTAGTCTTCTTTTACTCCAATTCCTTTCTTTTTTATTAATTTTATTGAGAAAGAAATAACAACAAGATAATTCCAATTCCTTTATAACCCCTATTACCTTCCTTTTGGATTGTGAAATTTTATCTGTCAGTGCTTACTAGAGAAAGATTTAATATAAGATATACAAGTATATAAGAACTTATAAGATTGGTTTACAGTCATTGCCCACAATCTGGTGTAGAAGACTACACAAGGGAGATTAAAAGGGTTTAGTTGAAAGCATAGAGCTCACTGTTGTGTCCCATGTGAGTCCATATCAGGAGACCAAAAGGTTTCTGATGGAAGGTTGAAGGACCTGCACTGGAATGCTGAAGAGTCTATGCTGGAAGCCAGAAGACATTTTCCAAGGTGAAGGTGAAGACTGGAGTGTCTCTGAAGGAAAACAAGGAAGCCTTCCTTCTTTATGTCCCTTTTATACTATTCACGTGACAGACCTCACTAGAGTAGGTCTTCAATAAATCCCTTCAGCCACACCCAGAACTGTGCTGATCCTATTTAGTTATGCATTTCTTACTCGTGTAGACACAGTCAGCTGACTCATAGTTTGTTTACCCTCATCCATTATATGTTCCACGTATTTAACTTTCTTTCTGGTTTTTACAGGGGTACACAGCTAAGAGTTGCCTTGAATTTCAGAGGAGACTTTGAACTTGAACTTTTCAGCAGTGTGAGAATTCCTTAAAACTATGACAACTCTTAGATATGGTCTAGATGCATTTTATATGATAAGAAAGACATAGATCTTTGGAGGGGCAGGGGTGGAGTGCTGCTCTTCAGATCCAGAAATCTTACATATTCTGAAGTAGGGCTGGGTTGGAAGAGGCTGGTTATTAGATGCTTGGCTTAGAAACATATTCTTTTCCCTAGCCCCTACCTTATCTTGGCTACCATAAGTTGAGAGGCATTCCTCCACCATGCCCTTCTACCATGTTGCTTCTGCCTTGGAACCACCCACTCATGACCTGAGTCTCCCAAAACCATGAGCCTTTAAATTGTGAATGTAAGATATTTTGTCAAAGTAACTGGGACACCTTACTAATATGCATAGTAACATATGTAATTATAGTTTGAAATCTTACTAAGGAAAACACCATAATTTCTACATAGTCCTTTTCTGGTAGGTAAATGTGAAACCATACAGGACACTAAGTGCTATATGATAGTTCATAAAGCGTATGAACTTTCCATGAGGCGACAAGTCTAGTCATGGTAACAGTGCCTATATTTAAATTTTCCCACTGACAGCCTCTATTTTGAGCAATAATTTGTACTTTAAATTGCACATATCTAAGCTAGGTTTTCTTGCTGCATAGTCTGTCCTGTATTGCCTATCAGGAAACCACGCCTCCAGTGCCAAGCACATAGTCCTTATACACATCTGCTGCAGGTAGTCTCTAGCCTCACAAGTTTTCTGAGGTCTTAAAGGAAACTAAGTATGACAGGTTACAGATCCATTGGAATGGAAATAGTGAAGAAATGTAGATGTTGAGTCATCTTTCCACCCTTTGGTAATACAGGTGAAAACAGCATAAGAGAAAAACTTCCCAGCTGCTGAGCCTGTTTTCATCTCTTCTTTTATGTGAGAGTATTGAATTTGAATACAGCCTATGAAGTTATAAGTAAAAGTATTATTCTGTATTAGACACTTACAGTCAAGGCCTCCTGAATGCAATATACACATTTATGTAAACAATATTGAGTTAGAGTAAGCAGAAAGTTGATAATAAAGTCACTGGAGCTGTCTATGTAAAAAATGAGATATTTTATACTTTTATAGCATGAAACACATGCACCCTGTTTCATCTTTTTATTGAATATTGAAATCATTGAAAGCTACTCAATATAATTAGTAAAGAGTAAAATCCTATCCAAGTGCTAATTTGCAAATGATAAGACATGTTAAATTCATGTACCGGTGTCCCAAAATGACCATTGTATATTATTTACATGCTCTAATTTTAAAACTTAAAGCAACTGAAATAACAAAAATTCAAATGCTTTCTCTTTAGTTTTCCTAATTGCTGTAAATAAATATTTGTTTTCATAATTTTAAAAGAAAAAAAACTTTTGAATTTGTTTCAAAATGTTGAGGCTGAAATCAAGTGAATCAAATTAGCGTATATAATGCAAATTTTTCTGTAATTTAAGATTTTGAAACTTGTAATTCTCAAATAATTTTGGCTAATGTTTAAAATGTTTACTTATGCATGTTTTTGCTAGTAAAAAGTTATCCATTTAGATTGATGAGAACCAATAGTCAGTGATTCTGTGTTTCTGTAACGTTTTCTAGTTGATGTGCCTGCCCAGAGAAAAACATATATAATAAAAATCAATTTATATATTTTTCTACAGTAAAACGGCTATATTAATGGATAACTTCTACAACAGTGGTACTTTCTGAGATTGTCCAGAAAAGTACCCATGATTCTTAATTTAATTATAGATAATAACTAACTTATTTCTGGCTCATACTTTGGTGGATTGGCTGCCATTATCTAAAGTCCTATAGAGTTCCAAAAATACTGAGATTAAATTGCTAATAGTGATTATTAAAGGAAGAATTATAGCAACTTTATTATAAATTGGTTATTTAGTGCTATTGGTTTCAAAGCTTTTTTCTTTGTAAAGTTTCTTTTACATATTTCAAAAGTATGAATTTAAAAAGGTAATAAAAGAAAAAGTGACAAGACAAAAAATGTAGGATTGTCCTGCTACAGTGTTGAATATGGTTAGATTTCTAATTTTCTGTGTAAAATTGGGTAATTGTTTTTTCACATTCTGTAGGGATTTAAAGTTTAGAATATCAATGAGTGTTGGAAAATACCTGTTCCATGTTATGTCCAAGGTGTTTGATATTCAGAAAGATAGTGATGTTAAGCTCAACTGCCTCTGTTATACAGTAATGTCATTAAGCTTTTCTTTTGGATGGTTAACAACTTAAGTTTGCAGACAAAAGTTAGAGAAAAAGAAGGGCTACATGGATACAAATATTTTGGCCTTAACCCTTCAAGGTCAGTGAAGACTCAGGACATAAGAGAACTTGTACTGTAACATCCTGTACTCAGTGGTGTCCCAAATTTTCTAATCAAGATTATGGGGCCAGAGAGGAAAGTGATCGACAATGTAGAATTTGCCTAAGGAGAGTCACCTAGAGATAAAACATTCTCTCAGGCTTTCACAGAGAGAAAATTGGTCAAGCAATGGCCATGACTCATCCACATGGCTGACACTGACAAAAGATCTACAAACTGCTCTACATGGTTATAGGGTAAATCCTGAGGCAATTTGACTGTCCTTGTCAGATACAAAAGTTGCATTTTTAATTATATGGGTCTTGCTTTAACTTGGTCTTAACCATCCAGCAGAAAAGTATAACCATGAGGTATAAAAAGTAAAGCCATATTAATATATGCTGAGCTATAAAAAGCTCAGGTCAACAACTTCAGACATTGCCAGTTCTGCTGATAACCCAGTATTATGGACTATTGGACTGTATTGGGTTATTTTGCTGAATTCAAGCACCTACAATATTTGAATGGCAATGGAACACCCATTTCTGACAAAACAAAACAAGAGGGATATAAATGAAGGACCATTAATAGTTAGGATAGATATACAGCTACTTGCTTTTACCTCAGTGAGAGGAAAGATTTGTACCAATACTGTGTAGACAAGATATCATGGCTGCATCTTGTACTCTGAATAACTACTACGAAGACAATATGCAATGTATTAATTATTGTAACTGTCCTACTAACCTCTTTTGAAACTGTCTCATTGTTATTTCTTTCTCATTAAAATTAATTAAAAGTAAAATTTTAAAAAGCATAAAAATATGAAAAATCGTAATTTGCCTACTGAAATACTGTGTTTTCAGAGGAAATAAAGACTGTTTTCAGTGATTTTCAGGTGTGATGTTCTCTTTTACATTTACTCTTCTGTGTGTGCCATGAAATTAAGATTGGCTTGGATCCAATTTTTTTATATTAATCTATTATTTCAATACCTAAGGGCCAGCCAAATAGCTCAGCACATTAAAGCACCTGCTTAGGCAGATGCTGGGGCCTGGAGTTCAATCCTCAGGTGTCTGCTTAGATGCAGGGTTCAGGAGTGATCCCCTGGCCAGCTGTGCTGGCCCTGCCCCCGGGGCGCACTGAGAGGGCTATTGAAACTGGGTGTGGTGGCGCACATCTGTAGTCCCAGCACTTGGGAGGCTGTAAATAGGAGAATCACTCAGTCTGTTCTATGCAGTGAGACCTTGTATACCCTGTACACCCTGTCCTAAATACAAATAAATTTAAATACCTAGTTCATTGTATACTTGATTTTCTTGGCATATGCCAACAGTGTTAAGTCTGAGAAAGGCTATCAAATAAATTCATTTGATTTAATGAAGCATTCTAGATGGCAGCATTAATATCAATATCAAGCAAAGGCAGATCTTATTCTGTTTAAAATCAGTCTTATGAAGGCCATGAGGCTATAACTTTGGCATGCATTAATTGCCTAGAAATTGTCTACACATCCCACTTAGAGGATAAAAATTTTAACTTTTTCATATTTATTTGGTGATCCAAACCTGAGATATTTTTCTCTGATGTGTTTTGAATCTCCCACAGCTTGTTTAGAATAAATGAGAGAATATTGATGTTCATTTTTAAGCAGAAATCATTCACTAAATTATGATTTGATTTTGAAACAAACTAAAGCATACTGACATTTTCTGTCCATTCAAAGTTTCTCTAAAATTCTAGAAACAGGACATGTGCAAATGTAACAGGACTCTTTCAAAACTTTGCAATTTATCTGTGAGATAATAAATATAGTAAATCAAGTTTAAGAAGCATTAAGTTAACTCAGGTTTTGAGCAGGTGTTTTATACATGAAGCACCTTGCAGGTCATATAGTATTCACACTTTTATTTTACTGTATTGGTTGGGCGGGTTTACCAGGAATCCAACTCAAAACATCATGTTCATCAGGTATACCTACATCCCTGACCCTACATACTTTTATTTTAAATGAGTTTTCAGATATGTTCCAATGTTCTTTAATGATAACTTAAAATGGAAAGGAAACTTAGCTTAAAAACTTAGCGTCACAAGTCATGTTTTATAGCCATTTTCCTTTCCATTCATGTGAAGTTTAGCTATAGAGTTGCAGTGTAGGAGCTGCTCATCCCATGCAACTTGCCACATCTGTTCTTCCTGGTAATGAATGCTTAGGACCGTTTGATAGGTAGACATTAGAACTCAGATTCAAGTAGACTGTATAGGTTCTTTTTGCCTATAAAAGAAATAAGTGGAAATTATAAGTATTCAGGAAATACTTATGCTTCTAATGGCTATTATTTTTAATATGTCTTGCATATGTAAATCCTATCAGTGAGATATATGACCTCTAAAAGTAATAGTTAAACCTGGAGCATCAATGAATTTTTCTACTCAGGATTTTTATACATGGGGAAAATAGCAATAGTGTACCAATTCAGATAATTTGCTTGTAGACCTTGATAAAGTACTAGGTCTTAATTTTATATTCCTATTTCTAATATAAATTGGAAACTATTAACATTTCAAGTATTGTCAACATATTTTTCTGCTGTTTTGAAAAGAATGACTTTGCCCTGGGTTTCCTTGAAATGACATTTTAATATGCCAGTGCTGACATAAAAGTTCTGGAAATACGGAATATTTAAAACTGTGTAATAATACTTCATCTCATACCAATCAAGGAAATTCAGACTACCCAAAGAGATTTATTTTGCTTATAAAATTGGCAGAATTCAAAAGATTGATAGTTATGGCATGATTGATAGGGGAAAAGACATCTCCATACATTGGGAGGAGCTATAAATTGATTATAGCCTTTTTTTGAAGTGCAATTCAGTAGAACGTACTAGAATTTTAAATGTGAATCACCTTTCATCAAAAACTTCATCTTTAAGCCTAGCTTATGAAGGTTTTGTACATACTCAGAAAAGGCAATATTCAACGCAGCATAGATTGTTTCATGTAATTTTGGGAATAAGTGTTAAATAAGGGAGACTGACAAGACAAAACTGATGATGCATACATATAATCCCGGCACTCTAGAAGGCAAAGACATATCTCAAGTTCAAACCTAGCCTGGGCAATTTGGTAACTTTAGCAAGATGTCTACAAAACTTTTTTAAAGCGGTATAGAGATATATCCTGGTGTGAAGGCCCTGGATTCAATCCCTAGTACAGAAAAAAAAATTCATACATTTAACAATGCATAATACCATGAAATTACTAAACAAAGTGAGATACATGTATATCTCTAATACATATTCAAAAAGCAAGTCACACAATAAGTGCATTAGTTAATGCAAAAATAAAAATCCTATGTAAATTGAGAATATGTGCACTTCATGGGAAATGGTTGGGAAGTGTACATACCAAACTAATAGCATTAATTACATTGAGTTAAGAGATTATGGTGAGGAGAAAATAAAATAAATATTCTATCTATTATTGAATAAATTAGTTTAAATATTTTATTAATAATTCCTTATTTATTTATTTGGTACAAGGTTTCTCTACACAGCTTGCACTCAAGGTGGCCCTCCTGTCTCAGCCTCCCCAGTGCTAGGATTACAGGCACACACCGCCATACCTGGTTTATGTGACTGGCTGGGTACCACTCCAGCATGGCTCGCAGTACCATGGATAGAACCCAGGTGCTCGCACTTACCAGGCAGACACTTAGACCGCCAAGCTATTTCATCAGCCCTCATGTATCTCTTTTTAAAAATTAACCTGTTTAGTAATCCAGCACCAAATTGTGAGTGATGTGTAAAACTTCCAAAAATAGTGAATCCAAAATGTGGATTAAATTAATGTTTTAATAAAGTGCAATATAGGTATGACAAATAATCAGCAGATAATTAAACTATGATAGATCCATCACAATGAATGCAGACATTCCTTGGTTAAGGAGTACTGTCCTGCTACCTGGCCACTAAATGAGAAGTTATATACGGTATGATATTCAGAATAAAATGGTCAAATGAAATTCCAACTTGATTTGCTTTTATTTGCATGAGTCTTGAAGTACTTAAAGTATACCATCATAAAATACAGTACTGTACAATTTAATCAGTAAAAATTACAGTGTTGAACTATAGAAGCCACCATAAGACTGCACTGCTTGTCATGTTTCTGTGTCCCAAGTCTGAGTGTGGGCCATAAGTCAAAGGACAGGCATAAGTCCAAACAGTACACCTTGATGGCAAGTTTTCAAAGTCCTTAAGTAAGTAGGATGCTAACCAAGTAACATCTGTACAAAGCAACTGCAAAATATAAATAGGAAACTACTGCTATACTGGGCTCTCTTAAGATATAAGAATTCTATGCAAAAATATGAGTGTTTAAACTATAGTACTAAGAAAAAAATAATTGAAGAGGATATCCAAAAATTGAAATAAAATCTCCTGTTCCTGGGTAGGTAGAACCAACATAGTCAAAGCAACCACTCTACCAAAATGGTTATATAAATTTAATGCAATGCGATCAAAATGCCAATTACATTACCTAGAGAACTAAAGAAAATAATCCTAAAATTTATATGGAACAGGAAGAGACCTAGTATAGCACATGCGATTCTTGGCAGCAAGGACAAAGTACAAGGCATAAAAACCCCTGACTT